GCTTGGCCACTTTTAGAAGAAAAATGAGAGCAGAATGAATAGGGAAAACAAAAGACAACATCCTAGTGCAAATGAGGGAGTGCTTACTGGGCTTATGGTAATCAGGCCCAAGCCTCCCAGATTGAGTCTGGTGGTCTTTTCCCTGCTCCTGGCAGCCTCATATCAGAAGAGGGTTAGTTTGGGTCCTGACCGAACTTGTAATTTAAAAAAATATATACATTTGTAGTTTCATGTACTTGAATAAATAGAAGCTATTGAACTTACCAGCTTATTTAAAGCATTGGATATCAGGAATGGAATAATATTCGAACAGAGCTATGTGAGCGGTCTATGGCCAGCTCAAACTCTTTGGAAATCTCCCAATATGGAAATCTTCGAGTTATTCTTCTGCAAAATAAAGGACTTGAATTTTACATGAGTAGTTTATAATAAAGTGAGAAAGTCTGGATATAGGAGACATGAGGCCAAGACTGTATTTACTGTAGTCTAAAGAACACTATTAGTTTTGTGATCTTCAGCAAATCACATAACCCTCCTTTCTTTAATTACATGTCTGTAAAATGGGTACGATGACCCAAGGGAGCTAACTGGGTAGTCTGAATAAAACCTATATAAATGGAAGGTATCATTGCTAAGTATTATAAAAGAAAGACTATGGGTCATAAATTCTTCAGATAATGTTTTCAGACCTGATTTTGAGAGAGAGAGAGAGAGAGAGAGAGAGAGAGAGAGAGAGAGAGAGAGGGAGAGATTAATCATCTGCTAAAAGCTTGTTTAGCAAGGAAGATTTCTTAGGAGAGAAATAAAAGTAAACAATAGAAGCATAGGAAGCAACTGCATCCAGATGTGTTGACCCATGAGTGTGCTCACCTCAGATATCTTCAGAATTCTCCACTCACACTCAGAACATAAGCATGGAGGGCTTACTGAAAATCTCATAGGGAAACTGCGGACAGGGTTTGTCCATAACAGACTTCAAGCTCCCAGGCAGGGCCCTGGGAGGCAGCTTTCTCCCTCTTCCATCTCCACACTTACCCTCAGGGTTCTTTCTTGATTCACAGCAGTTCTGCCCCACTCGCTCGCTACCTTCAGACTCCCCAGGTCACCCCAGTACACAGGAAGGCATAAGCATGAGACCTTTTGCTGCATAGGGCTGGGCCTCCTGAGAAGGTGCCTAAGTGGCCTGCACTGTCATTTGAGTGTCCCCTTCTCCATTTCTGGTAAATAAAACTTTCTTAAGGCAAGGAGAGCGAGATTTCCCGAGCCAGGCAGGGGCTGTGGAGAGACACCCATTTAGCCCCACCTCTCTTTTGGAAGGTTAGATGAGAGAGTGTCTGAGGAGGATGAGAAGAATGCAAAACCTGCAGCCCCAATCAAGTGAGACCAGAACACAGATCTTTCCCACATGTGAGGAGAGAGATTGAAAACTAGCTTTATATGTTGTAGATCATGGAAGTGATCAAAGCCTTTCTAGGGTGTAGCCATCAATACACAGTTCAGGAAAGTCAAATAGAAGAAAGCTACTGTTTACACCAAGTATAAACAACTCTGTTTTTTTTCCCCCTGACCTAAAATGTTATATGTACCAATTCATCTCGCCAGAAAATACTGATGAAATGACGGTTTCTGTGACCTAGGTTCTTACGATCTAGAGGCTGTAGATATGTAACTAATTTACAGAGCTGCTTAGTATTTTTCACGGCAGAGAATGGACAACATTCTTAAAAGTGAGCAGAATATGTGATTCCTCCTGGATGAACTGCACCTTCTCTTCCCGGCTCTGCGGGTCTTCTCATTTGTGTGAGTCTGAAAATTTGCTGACCTCTCTTCTTAACAGACATCTGGGGAGCTGGAATCAAAAGGCCCCAAAGCCCAAGCTTTAAAGAAAAAAAATTTTAAACAGCTTTATTGAGAAATAATTTAAGAGGATGCTTGTCTGCTGCTCTGTGATAAAGCTCAGTTTAGATGTGGTATTTGTTACTAAACCTTCCTTAGGACCAAGGTCACATGGAAGGTTGAGTTCTTTAGGTCTGTGGTCAAATTTAGCAAAATTATACCGCGAAGCTCCACATCAGCAGGGCCTCTTCACCTGTGCACACGTCAATATTTGATAATAACTGACTGAATGAAAAAAACATAAAGATCTTAGCCAGCATGTTAACTCGCCCATCTTGACACAGAAGATGGGAGATTTTATTAGACAGAGGTCCAACATAGTATTTAAATGCAGTTTGATATGAACTGAGAAGTGTTGCCAAGCTAGTTGCTATTTTGTATCAGGTTGTCTATAATAGATTGTTGGTATGACTTCCAAGCACATCCAAGCTACACTAAGACATGTCAGTTTCTTAAGCCTACCAGAGTGAACAGGCTCCACCTGCAGGAGATAACGAATCATTACTGGTATACTGGAGCGTCTTCACTAGGGAAAGGAACTAATCCCCTTTCAAATAAATGCAGAGTATCATCAAGATGAAGAAACTGATCTGGAAGCTGCAGAAGACTGGGGAAGCCCCAGAGAAGCAGCTGACCTTTGTCACCATTTTGCAGGGTGGGGGCATGGGCCAGCGTGGTTTGCCCAGTGCAGATGGCTTTGAGGTTATACGGAGTAGGCAGGATCGTCCTTGTCCACATACAGTCTTTTAAAATCAGTTGCACATTCCTTGCACTTGAACTAGACCAGGGCATTAAGTTTCTCTCTAGGTTTCCTGAGGATCATGGTGAATGTTCAAAGATCACCCGAGCTGCTGAAATGACTCTTAAGTTGAATTTTAAGGCTGATGTGGCAGAGTTTGAACTGTTCACTCAGCAGTTTTTCTCCTCTGCTAACCCGAGCAGGGCTGAAGGCCTTTTTTGTGAACGCAGTGGAAAAACAAGTAGGACATTAAGGATGTGTATTTTGACATACCTTAAGTGGCTGGTACTTAATTACACTTGCAAGAGAACACTTCATAAATAACTCTTATGGGGGGCATTTTCTGAAAGAAGAGGTTGAAAGTGAGTTCTGCCTATGGCAGATGGGGCCCGGAATTTGGGTTATCTGAATGTGCATAATCATCACCTTGAAAAGGTGTTGCATCTTACTCCAATTATAGATGAATGGGAGCTAGTTTACCTATGTAGAGCACGGCCCTGGTGAGATAGATCCTGCAGGGCTCCTAGTGGACATCTGTGGACATCTGGGCTGCTGTGGGTAAGGGCAAGGAGCGATGGAGTGTGTGTGTGTGTGTGGGGGGGGGGCTCCCAGAATGTCCTTTCCCTGGACAGGACAGGAAAGGTTGCTTCTGACTGCTGAGGGCGCATTTGTTTGGATTCGGAATGATCCTTATATCTCCTCCAGAAATATGAGGTTACTGAGTGGAAGTAGACATCTTAGCAGCTCCTAACCCAGGATGCATGACAGAGGGGACCTTGCAGTTTACTGTGACTTTCAGAAGGGTGTCTGCAGCCTGTTACCCTTTTGGTGGTGAGGTCAGTTTTCCGGAGGCTCCATGATACAGATAGTTTCCAGATGTTTCTCCTTGTCTCTTCTTGCTCAGGCTCTGTCTTCCTCTCATCATCCCGCCCTTAAAGGGAAATTGAGATAAAATTCTGCTTGGAGTCTTAGGCATGTTAGAATCACTCAGTAGTTAGAAGCGATTTAATACCTGGGCCTTATATTAATATTTATAATAGCCTCCACCGCTTGTGAATAGCGTAAACAATTTTTCTGTTCAAACCCATTGTTGAAATAAAACCCAAGAGTATCTTTTACAAAAGTTTCCTTTTAATGGTGTGATAGTTTGTAATAGTCTGTGTAGTACTTTATGGTTTTCAAATCACTTGTTGCTTATGTTACTTTGTTTAATACCAAACATAAATCTGTGAAGTAAAAAAAACTAGTTTTATCCTCATTTGTCAGATGAGAAAAGGGAGGCCCAGAGAGGTTAAGTAATTTGCCCTCGGTCATACAAATAATAAATGGCAGAACTAAATTTTAATTGAGACTCTTTAAATCCATATCTGTTGCATGTTCTCTTCACTAAGTTTATCATAGTGCCTCCTCTCTTGTTTTTTGTCCACATAAAAATGGGAAATTAGGAAAAAGAAAGCAGCTGGAAAATAAGTTTACTAAAAGAATATAACTTTTCTCACAATTTCCTAATCAATTGTTCAGGTATATGATTTGAGGACATTCATCTATAATTGGAGTAAGATGCAACACCTTTTCAGTGAAAGACAAATTCCAGGGGCTCCCACTAACGGATATCTGCCAAATAGAAAAATGGTGGGGGGAACTGGGGGGCACTTTCTGCTTCTCAAGCTTCCAGAGTTGCTGTGATTGACTTTACATTTACAAGTTTTGTCAACAGGCAACTTGAAAAGGAAAAGAATTTCACAATCTTGAACAATTGGTAATAAAACTAGTGCTCTGCAAAATTTCACCATAAGAAGGTATATCGATGACCAGCTCCTGTCCCCACTTTGAAGTAAAAACCAAAGCTTTAAAAGCTAAGCTGCCTTCCTCTCAGCCAATTGTAGGAGGAGCCTGTGGACCGGTCCTGGGGGCAAAACTGAGATCGGTTCTCCTGGCCTCTCCAGCCGCTTTTTTCTATCAGCATTGCAAAAGCCTGAATTTCCCTCCACACCCCGCCCCCGCCCCCCCTTACCCTTTTGTTATTTTGAAGGAATTTATCCTTGCGCGTTGCGAGTAGGAAGGAGGGTGTTCTCCACATGAGGACGGCCCTTTAAGGGGGTACCTGCAGGGCAGTTAGCGCACCGGGACTGGAGTTGAGTCAGAGTGCTCGCTCAGGTTACACTGAATGAGTAAGCCTCGTCTGCTTTTCCCCATGCAAAGGTAGGGGTGGAGCCCGCCCCCACTTTCTCTAAATGCCTCCTCCCCCCCCCCCTTGGGCTTGTGAAACAGATCCTTCCAGCCACATGGACCAATATCCACAACGTTTTCAGCTTTACAATCCTTCATTTTTGGCGTACAAGACTCCAAGACAAGGGAAGTGAAATGGGCGTCGAAAAATGTAACCCAAAGACTCAGCTGCATTTCTTTTACTGCCTATGTATTATTTTTGTAAAACTGTAGCACGCGCTGAGATGAAGCTTTTTTGCTCTTTACGGCACATGCATTTCACTGGCCCAGCCCGTCTCCGTTACGCTTGCCGACAGCACCCCTCTGCCCTACCTCTCCGGCCCTCCTCCTCACCTGCGTGCGCCCCGGCCGCCAGCCCCGCCGGGTCGCCTCCGCCCTGCGACTGGCTGGGGCGCGCGCCCCGGGGGCCGGACTCCAGCCGCCCAGCTGAGACGCGATTCGTCACTCTTGCAGAACTTTCCCCCTGTAAATCCGTGCACCAGAACCAGCCCTGCCTCCCCGGGGAGGTTTTGATTTTAGTGGCTTTCCTTCCTTTTATTTTCCATCGTGTTTGGGGTTTGGCTGCGGAGTGAACTTGCGGCGGGTCTGAGTGCCATTTCAGAGGTAATCCCCCCAGCAGCGGGTAACCCTGACACCATGCACTCCGAAGTCGAAGAATCCAAGGAAGGTATGATTTTGATTTCGCTGGGGGGCCGGCCAAGTTCAGCGGAGGAATGTGGAGGAAGGGTCTGTAGTAGGAGGAGAGCAGATGCGAGTTTTAAAGTGAGCGGTGGGGACTTTGTCCGCTTTCCCTGCGCTTTCGCAGCTCAATTCGAGCTGCAGATGCCGAACCCTGTACCCTGTACCCTTCCCACCCCACCCCCGTTCAGAGGCGATGGGAAGAAGAGTCGGACCTAGCTCAGACAGCTCCACTAAAGGCTGTTTTTCAGATTTCTCTGGAAAAGGAGCGGCCCCAGTGTTGACTCCAAGAATGCAAAATGTTCTCGGAAAAGCGCTGCCTGCATCAGGACAGTCGATAGCCGAATCCCCTGGAAGAGCCCTCGAAGTCGAGAGTCTCTTGAATAGGGTTTTAGAAATTGGAAGCGCCGTGTGTTTCAGGCTCAAAAGGGAAGCTGAGTGAGGGGGAGAAGTGAAAGCTCTTCACTTGGAGAATAGTTCTCTCCCCCCTCCCCCTCCTTGCTGGCTTTTCAGCAGTGAATTCATTTTGTTGGGGGTTTAAGGAGGTTGAGAGATTATGACGGGAGCCTTGTGCAGCTTGGAACTGAGGAAAGTTTGTTTCTAACTTTGCCAAAGCAAAGGGTTTCATTTACTCGTAACAGAGAACGGGTGACAAGGCTGGAAAGGCTCCAACCCAAACACAATTATACGCTGGTGTTAGTTCGGAGAGTTTATTTGTGCGTGAGTGTTTGTATGGCTTTGTTTCCTGAAACTTGATGTATACAAAAGTCCTCTTGTCAGTGGGGGTGGGATTGGGGATCGTTGGGGAAAATTAGAGAGTAAGAGAGGAGAATGCTCAAGATTGTGAAATTCTTTTCCTTTTCAAGTTTCCTCTTGACAAAACTGGTACATTTCAAGTCAATCACAGCAGCTCTGGAAGCCTGAGAAACAGAAAGGAGCACCCCCCCGACCCCCCCTTTCATTTCTCCATTTGGTAGATACCCATTAGATATCTCGCTAGAGCCCTTGCAACTTGTCCTCTTCTGCCTTTTACTGATTCTCCTCCCAAAGTAAAGCTCTGTGTTTCATAATGTCCTCTCTGTGGGTTGACGTTTACAAACCTCTTTTGCTGTGTGAGTGAAGCAGTCAGTGAAAAAGAGGCTTGTTTAATAAAAATATGGGCCTGGCGTGAATGAAAATGACAGCCAGGAGCATTGTTTTTGAGCTTGATGTGGAGCTTGGGGGATTACTGTTTCCTTGCTGTGGCCTCTGGCCTGATGGATGCTTTTCTTTTCTGCCTTTTTAGCAGCAATTTATAGCAAGTCAAAAGTAGTTGAAGGACGGCAAAGAGGAAGTGGGCTGAGAGAATCCAATGGTAGGGAACTTTTGTGTCCATGACGAGTAGCACTTAAACTGGTATTTTCTCCCAGGCATGTTTTTCCTTTCTTTTGGGAGAAAGGGTGTGGGGATAAAGTAGAAAAACAGTATCCCAAAGTATATTATACCTTCCTCTGGCAGCGTCCACTTTCTTTCCCCCGGCCCATCTTTCTGGTTGTAAGCCTAAAACCTGGAGGGTAAAGATGTCCCTTAATGCCCTTCTCCAGCCCTTGTTCCTGGCCTTACCTTCACTTACTGTCTTCATTTGTATCCTACAGATCTGCAGCAGAGGATCTGGTCCCTGTACTTTTTACAGAAAGCCCAAAATGTTTCTTTTCAAATAATATGAGGTGCTAGAGGTTTAAATGGATGGCACTTAGGGTAGGAGACAGAATAACTCTTGAGGGAGGTTGGTCAAATACTTTCTTACCAAATGCAATCACTGTAGCTTCTGCCAGGAAGTAAAGGATGAGTTTCCAGGTATAGATGTGTATGTTGTGTGTATTTGCGCGTGTGTGTCCCTGGCAGGTCTTGTAAGGCTGGTTATTGGCTGAGATCTAGAACCACTACTCAGGTGTCTCTGAAAGGAGCTGTGTTGTGTAAATAACTCAGTTATCTTACTGATCCTTTTCCCTTTCCTTAGCTTTTTTTCCCCCCTCTCCTCTCCTCTCCTGATGGACTTATGTGTCCATTCAGTGTGAAATTACCTCGAGCTCTTCACAATATCTGCATGGCAAGGAAACTGTCTTCAGATGCTTCATGCCCGATTTTCTGTAACGGGAGATACTTTTAAGTCATTATTCTGAATCGCCGTGTGAGACTAGTACACTTTGTTTGGGGTTGCATCTGAAAAAAATATCAAGTCAGATTCAGAGGTCCTTGGAGGCCAACATATTTGTGCATGTGAGTGAATGTGGAAGCAAATGACTGGGGATATTGTTAAGCCATCATAGGTTAGAACCTACTTGACTCCATGCCAAGAGGGCTGCACTTCCATCATTAGTCTATAGCCACCTTCTAAAGAATTGACTTAAGTTTGCCTGCTTACAGATGAATAGGTGATTGTGCTTGAGTACTAAACAGAGAAAAATAACCCAGGACTCACTTTATGCAAAGTGAATAAATGTAAAATATGCAGGCGTAAAATGAATAGGGAAGCAAGAGAAAATGAAGGAAGGACCCCACTTGATTGAAAAGGGGAATGCCCTTGAAAGGAAGAATAGCAACAGTTTCCAGTAGATGGGGCTTCCTGAGGAAATAGGTTGATGGCTACGCATTTGGCGCATTTGGCGTTTAATTGCTTCTTGTAGAGGAAATTACTTAACTATGAAGTAGGAAAAATGAACGGCCGTTAAGATGTCTGAGGACCTTTCTAGCACTAATCCTCCAGGGTTGGTACCAGAAAGAGAGGAAGCCATTGTTAGGAAGCGGTTGATTTGTGAGGACTTGGAAAAAGAGTGTGGGTTGAGTTGTGAGTGAGCTCAGCCTGTTATGTATAGCATTTCCCGCCACCACCTCACCTAGTTCTCTCATGCCTCATCAGATCTGCTATTTCACAAAGAAAACAGTAGCCATTAGACAACTCCCTCCACTTCCTGCTCCCAGACTGACAGGCTCACCTTCACCACGCCCACCCTCCCGGTGTCTGTGGAACAGGTATGTGTCATTCCTCCTGGCGAAGGCCACTCCTTCTACCTCAAGTTCCTCACAGCAGTCGGCCACATGTCTTCTTGGCTTCTTCCCTTCTGTGTCTAGACTTCCTCAAGCTCCCCACTTCAGGGTGTTGGCATTTGCTGGTCTTTCTGCCCGAAATATCATTCTCCACACCTGACCTTTTTTCCTGATCAGCCGCTGGTTGGAGGCTTTTTCTGAACCTCCGACCTGAATTAGGATCCCTTGTTGCCCATTCTCAGAATACCTATTCTTTTCCTCACTGGCACGCACCATACTTTTAGCATCTCTTCCCTAGACCACAAGCTCTTAAGGGCAAAACCATGTCTGTTTTGTTCTCCTCTAGTGTCTCCAAGACCAACCCAGTACGAGGTGATCCTTCAATATTTTATAAAATGAATGAATGGTCTCCATTTTTAAAAGGCAGTCCTCAACACTTGGTCCGATTTTAGACATTTATCTCTTCCTTAATAGGAACCCTTATAAAAAACAAAAACTTTTGCATGGTTCCTCCTTTCTCATTCTTTTTCACCCCTCATCCCAGTGAAGCCTCTTTCTTTACTACCATTCCACTGAAATTGCCAAAATCACCAGTGATTTCCTAGGTGCTAAAATCACTGATGATCCAGCATTCATATTTTTGTCCTGATCTTATGTCACCTTTTTTTTTTTTTTTTTTTTTTGCAGCTTTTGATGCTAGGACACCAGTGTCCCTTGCAATCTAAACTCCTTCCTTGGTCCCTGGGACATGACACTCTCCTGATTTCCCTCCCCGTTTCCAGCTGTGCCTTTCTCATCTCCTAGACCTCCAGCTAGGGCTCTTCTCAGAGCCCCCTGTACATGTACAGCCAGCAGCCGGGTAAACAACATGCTTCGAATGTCACATAGGTGCCTCAGGTTCAACATGTTTAAACAGAGCCCATCATTTCCTCCTCTTCACAAATCCAAGCCTCCTTTTGTATTTTCACTGAAATCATTGGTCTCTTTTTATCTTCACCTTCCACCCGGCACTTCCACCTCCACACTATCTGTTGAATGTGCCTTCTTCTCTTTATCTCCCTTGTCCCTGCCTTAGTTCAAGCCCATAGCGTTTGTACCCTGGTGGGTATAATAACCACCTCTGTTATCAGGGTTCTTGGTGGCAAGAGATGGAAATCGATTGCTGCTGTCACAAGCAGAAGCATTTATTGGAAATACATTGGGTGGTTCACATTTCTACAGAAAGGCTGGAGCAGAAGCCTCTGAAAGTGCATCCGGGGATGTAGCCAAGGACGTGTTCAGGAATTGCCTGGCAAGAACCTCACCACGGCCTTCCCCTCCTCTGTATTTTTCAGTTCTGCTGGGACTCCAGAGGTGGCTGAATATTTGCTCACCCTCGACATTCAAAACTCCCAGAAATAAACCATCTGATTCATCCATGCTAGATTGTGTGCCTACCCTTGTTGCCCGTGGGAGAGGGAACTTCTGGTTCCAGCTTGGATGGGAGACAGGGGCCTGACTCCTACCACCGCTTGCAAAACGAGGGCTTCTCCAGAAATAGGAAGGGAGTTCTGATGTGAACCACGGAAACATCAGCGAATACCCACAGCGCCACCCGACCGCTCTGTCCAACCCCAGTTGTTCCCTCAGCAAATGCTGTTTCCTTTCTTGGGATCCCTCTCCTCGGGTGGGTCGTATCGCCAACTCGACCCGGTTTGGAGTCAGTGCTCTTTCAGAGAATTCCCATCACACCCTCTACTTCCCTCAGCTGCACCATGTTTTCATGTATTATGGTTACACGTTTTCTTGTCCTTTGCTCCATTTCATTATGAGCTTTTTGACAGTGAGATTTGTACTTTTTTTCTGAATCCCCAATGCTTAACCTAGGGCCTAATAAAGCATTATCAAATTAATTTAAAATGAGATTACATGATATGCAGAAACTTTTTAGAGCGCTGCTTAGAAGTAGTCTAGCCTCACTTTACAGAAATGGTGCCTGCGAAACCAATTTAGGGTTTTTTAAATTCTCCACTGAAGTACTTTTCATGGCAGAGACAAAAGAAAGCATGTGTCTGATCACTGCGGTCAGGGCCCAAAGGGGCCTGCCAGCACCTTCAATTGCCTTGAAGTCTGAATAAATTATTTTATTTTATTTAAAGATTTTATTGGGGGAAGTCAACAGTGTTGGGGAATTGGGGGAGTTGTTCTCCTTCAATCTTAGTTGTGGAGGGTGCAGCAAGCTTAGTTCCAAGTCCAGTCACGCCATTCAGCTCAAGGTTGTGTTCAGTTAGTTGCGGGTGGGCGTAGCCACCCTCCCAAGTGGGAGTTGAACCAGCAGCCTTGTTGTTAAGAGAGCACGCTCTATCCCCTGAGCCACCTGGGCAGCAGCTCAGCTCAAGGTGCTGAGTTCAGTCTTTAGTTGTGGGTGGGCGTAGCCCCCCATCGAACAGGCATTCTTGTTGATAGGAGCACGTGCGCTCACCAGCTGAGCCATCCTGCCACCTGTTGGCAACTCAGCAGCAGCTCAGCTAGGGCGCAGCTCTCTGGCCCATGTGGGAATGGAACCGGTGACCCTGTTGCTCAGAGCTCGCACTCTTGAGCAAACTCTTAACCAATTGAGCCACTTGGCCGGCCCCAAGAAATGATTTTAAAACTAAAATATGTTGTGCTCTTCCATGTGCCAGGCTTGGTGCTAAGGATCTGGTTAGGTATATTATCTCATGTAATCCTTATATAATAGCGCTTTGTGTTAATTGCATATAACGGTTTAGAAAACTAAGGTTCAGAGAGGTTAAAAACCATACAGAAAACCAAAGCTAGAAAAGGTGAAATCAGGATTAGAATGGAGGCCAACTGACCATAGAGCCTGAGCTTTCAACCTTGATGCCGTACTTCCAGGAATGTCCAAAAGCTGCCCTCCCCATCCTTAGGTAAGTGTGGCACTCAGGAGGATTCTCCCTGTGGTCCTGTGTCTGCTTGTACCCTAGTTTGAGAAGCCAGGAGTGGAGACGCCAGGTATCTTTGAGGAGAATGAGAAGAGCCCATCCTTGGCTCTTCCTGTGACGCTCAGGGGCCTGGGCGGGGAGTCCTGCGTGTATCGCTCTCCCCCTGACCCAGGAGAGCCAGGAGCCCAGCAGGACTGGGTTGGAGGTGCCTGGAACCCGCTACAATGAGAGGGACCTGAGTACCTGTGGGACAAGAGAGGGTCCTCACTGCCTGGACCAGGGGCCCCTGTTCACTGACGTGAAACAAGGTTCAGTTAATGTGTGTGTTATGTTAGCACAACTGGGTGGCTTTGTAGCATCCTATGGGTTTCAAGTTTCTTTAAAATCTGCAAGATGTATATACACAAGTGAGTGATTCTCAGCACAGTTGTGTTCCACTGGTTGGTTTCTCATATCTCCTAAGAATACACACTGCTTCCTTGGGAATATCAAGAGGCATTTGCACTCTCAATTATAGCCGTCTTCGGATTCAGTATCATTTAACAGGTGACTGAGCTGTTCCTCAGTGCTTCTGTAACGGTTTGCTGGGCTCCAGCTTACCTTGAGCCCATCTCACCATAGTCTGCCATAACTGGGTCCCTAATTCCCAGGTGGGTTTTCAGGAACCCCATTTTAATCTATCAGCTTGCCAGTCAAGTGACTGAGGTCAGCCAAGTGCCAGCAGAGGCATGCCTGAAGGCGGCCCCCCAAGCACGTGGTGCCAACAGGCTGCCTTGCAGAACCTTCCAGGGGCCTCATGGTCAGTATCGCCCCACCTGCGAGGGATTGTAACTCTTCAGGGAGACAAAAAGTAGAGACCTCCATTAAACATAGTGGGACCAATACCTGGCAGAGTATTTATCATAGGAAAATTCAGTTGTTTCCTGGTGGTGACTTATTAATATCCTCTTCTATCATCAAAAAGCCCAATGGGATTACATAAGCGGCCACACTTTGTAGTGTCCTCACTGTTTTCACCTCACGTAGTATGGCAGCTTATGTGATAGCATTCATTGGTAAGCATTAAGCATTACTGTACCAATCCCCCCCCCCCCAGCCCTTGCTTTGCAAGGGAGATGAGAGGAAGGGATTTGCAGTAGCGGTTCGAGCCTGATGAAAGGCATGGCGCTTGGTGCTGCTGACCTTGATGTCACCTATACTGTAAAAGGTACAGCCTGTGCTCCAAAACACTGGACTTTGATGTAATTATGTTTCCTTTTGTGTAGTCATTAGCCTTGGAGTGTGGTGTGCTGACAAGAGCTCCAAGTGGACAATCTGGTTAGAGATCTGTGCCCTGCTGTCTCCTCTACCGTGATGTCGCTGATAACCTGTCATTGCCTGGCACCCCCGGCTGTGTACGCTCATGTATATTTGGGCCTTTTCTTCCTCAATTCTGAAATTTTTCTAAGGCTGAGTGTACGTCACACCTTTCTTGTCCCCGAATTGCAGATGCCATGGGACAATCAGGGTAACACAGCTAATTAAATCTTACCCTGCTCCTGGCTGTTGATGATCCAGGAAGTAGCCAAAAAGTGAAAGAAAACGCAGGAGGGCCAGGAAATCTTAGGACCCAGTGATTTTGTGAGAATAATGCAGGGTCTCTGGGTTTGCTACAAACTATTTGTCCACAGTTCCTTCTGTGTGAGAAAGACGCTAACAACTTCGGGAACAATGAGTTGTATGCCTCGCTTCATTTAGTGGATTGCGCCTAAACAGATAGTGGAAGCTGAACATTTTTAAAAACCAAATCCTATGTGTATCTGTAATATTTAAGGAAGACCTGCCACGAGAAGCCTTTTGTAATGAAAATGACTCTCTGTAACAATACAACTAGAGTTGCCATGATTTTGAGTTAAAAGCAACTTTGCCGGTCCTTTCGTCTAAACTATTCCATTTAGAGGGGAGGAACCAAGGCCTAGAGAGGTGATGTTCAGGCACTTTTTAATCCCCTTGTGTCTGTTTGGTAAGTAAGAAATTTTGCACATGTGGGTCCTGGCATCCTGGATTTTTGTGTGAGATCTC